GTGTTGATGAAGTACGGGCATACAATCGTAGTTTTGACACCATCTTTCCCAGTTGCTAGCAGCTCAAGACCCACAGACTCTGCAAACCCTACTGCAGCAAATTTACTGGCACAGTAGTCTGCAGAATGAAGACAAAGCATTACAAAGAGATGTTCCTTAAATAAGGTTACTTCACCAATACCAAAAAGTGTATTTGTTTTGTTAAAATGATCACGCAGACATGGGAGTATGCACTTTTACACTGATGGCTTAATAAATACTTCAGTCCTTAATAAAAACAATAAATAGATTAAAGAATGACATGCAAACAATGTCACAGGTTTGGTTAAACCAGTGGTAGTGTGACACTTGCACTACATTTTTTGGTGATGACTGCTGGTCATATGCAAAGGATTACGTCATGTTCTCAAGCTCCACGTGTCAAATAGGGGATTCATCCAACACATTCAACTTTAGAATTACTGACATGCATCACATAGGGAAGAAAACACACCTGCCAATCCATTGACTCCTATGAGTCCAGCAGAGCTGGCAATGCTGACAAGGTGCCCATGATTGTTGGCAATCATAGCAGGAAGGAAGGCCTTGTAGGTCTGGAGAAAGAAAAGGGGGGAAAAGACTAAATCACCTGCTGTAACAGAAAAGGTCTTATTCATTCTTAAATTCTACTAAAGAATCAACTGGAGACTTTAATGCCAAATTAAATATCACAGTGTTGTCTAATCTGCTTGTAAACTCATGTGGAGACTTGTCCATGTCCTTTACTGACTGACCCAAAAGTGAGCCATGATGTTGACGTCCATGGTCTTCTCAATCAGTGAATCAGGAGCATCCATGAACTTCTTTCCTGTCACAATGCCGGCGTTGTTCACTAAAATGCTGACATCACCCACCTCTCGCTTCACCTACATGAAGGAATGAAGAAAAACCATCACGTATGAATAAACATCATTTTGTAAAAAAGATACTCCAAAGTAAAATGTACAACAGCTGTAGGATATGCATTAGGAAAAGAGAGATTCTATGATTTCCCAAACAGTCTGTGTTGTCTTGATCTGTGATTTAGACGAAGAACTGTTGTTGTTCTCTCAGCTGCCTCAGTGATGCAGAGTTTCAGAGAAAGAAATAAAACTCAAACATACAGCGGTGTGAAAAAGTGTTGTCTCGTCAGTCCACAGAGTATTTTCTTAAAAGTCTTGGAGATCATCCAGATGTTTCCTGGCAAACCTGAGACGAGCATTTATGTTCCTTCCGCTCAGCAGTGGGTTTTGTCTTGGAACTGCTCTGCAGGCCATTTTTGGAAAGTTTCTTTCTTATTGTGGAGTCATGAACAGTTGCCTTAACTGAGGCTAGTGAGGCCTGCAGTTGTTGTTCTGGGGTCTTTGGTGATCTCGGATGACTCCTCTCAGGAAAAGCCGGCCGACCAAAATTACCCTAAGAGAACAGC